ATCTAGCCTCTAGAACGTGTTCCTGGGTATTTTATATAAAAAGATAATATGGATTTTGATGATTTCAGAGCTTTTAATTTACATACTCAACTTACCCAAAAATTCCATAAAATAAAAAAAAAGTCTGCTCGCCCTTCCTGCTGCTCAAATGATTCATATAATATATAATCAATATGCCAAAAAAATATATGAAAAGTTACAAAATACTGTAATAACTTGTTCACTTACTACAGATTTGTGGACAGCCCACAACAGGCAGGAGTTTCTTGAAATTACCTGTTTATGGATTAGTTCTGACTTCAAAATTCACGAAATATTATTTTTTTTAACTTACGTTAGATATCCACATACTGCTAATAGTATTCGAGAAAAGCTAGAAAATATTATTGCAGATTGGGGTCTTACAATAAAGATATACACGATCATGACAAACAACAGAACCAACATAAAGGCAGCAATCAATGACATGAGTAAGGTTGTAAGAATTCCTTGTTTAGCTCATACTTTACATCTTGTCGTTGGAAAAGGTCTGATGCCAGCTGAAATGTTTATAGTATGAGCCAAAGATTAATCAATTTCTTTATAGCATCAAAGCAAAATAAACAACTTGAAGATATACAAAAAATGTTAAAAATTTCTGATTAAAATGTAATTCATTATTAATCTTTTGTACAACTAAAACTATACAAACTTAACAGATTGGTTTTAAGGCCACGTAAAGTTGATTTTTTATTTTGCATAACTCAACTAACCTATTTTTTTAATTTTAATTTTTTTTTAATTTTTTTTAATTTTTTTTTTAAGTGCCAATTTTGCCAATTATTTGATTTCTACTATTTATTTTTTTTCTATTATTTTTAACTAGTTTTACCTGACAGAAGGCAAAAAAAAAAAGAATAACTGACTGACCAATTTTCTGATTCGATATTATACAAAATGAAAAACTAATTTTGCATAGCCTAATAATCTGGCTGATTAGATTTTTTAAAAAATCATTTGAATATAAAGCCGAATTGGCGAACCCTTCTAGCATAACTGCTCAAATTATTTACATAATCGTTGCTTAAAAATCTTAAAAATCTTGGCAATTATGCTAGTTTTGTCAAGTTGCTAGGTTTTTTTTTAAAAAAAATTGGTATTAAACTGAAATATTAACTTTGAATAGCCTAAATTATTTTTTATAATAGATTATTAAAAAAACTTCAACATACTTTCGTGCTAAAATAGACATGCTAACCTGTTAGAATTCATCTTTTCTAGCTTGGGAATGCTTTTTGCTTATTAAGGATACTATAGATATTGTTTTAATAATATTAAATGTCTCTACTGCACCTGATACTTGAAAAGATACAAAAAGATCAAAAGAAATACAATTAACAGATAACGAATAGGATTTAATAAAAGACCTTGTTAATATTTTGGAACCTTTTTCTGAAGTTACAAAAGAACTTGGTAGTTCTGAATATATTTCAATTTCCTATATATTCTTGTCTATTTTAAAATTAATGGAAAGTCTCATTAGCAACACGAGCAATTCTGATAAACTAAAAAATAAGATAGATTATGAAACAGATGACCTAGCATTTGACGATGATATTAGATTTATCAACGTTCAAGAAGAGGAAAAAGAGGGTTTTAAAAAAAGAAATATTTGCATTAATATGTCTACTGATACTACAAATATAAGATTTAAAATTAAAAATGCCCTATATAATGCACTTTTATACTATTGGAACTTGTTAAATGATAAGGTGCTTCTTGCTTGTCTCCTTGATCCAAGATACAAAAAACTGTATTTTGCAATACCAAATCAGTGACAACTGGCTGAGGTTGCTCTTCATACTAAGTATAATGATGCCAAATATATTTATCAATGTTTAATATTGTCTAATAGATCTTCTAGTTCTAATGAAAATCAATACCAAAATAATTAAGAAAAACAGCATCAGATTTATCAAAAATCATTTTTAAGATGATTTTATGCAAGATACCCTGAAGAATCGAATGATGAGCTTGGCTATTATCTTTTCTTACCTAATTTCAACTATAGAGAAAACCCATTAACTTGGTGGAATTCTCAAAAAGTTTCTTTTCTATTCTTAGTGAACTTGCCAGGTAATATCTTGCAGTACCCGCAACTTCGACTCCAAGTAAGAGGCTTTTAGCAATACAAATAATATGATAACTATTAAAAGAACTATACTGAAATCTAAGTTATTCGAATGCATGTTGTTTTTAAAGCATAATAATGATGAACTTGATGATATCTATGTTAAGACAAATATCTTATACATAAGTAATTAATTAAACCATTCTACGTATTATTAATACTTTTACAATTTCATTAATAAATAAGTTTTTTTTATAGTAAGTCTTTATGGACTAATGAAAATGTGCAAATTAAAATCGAAATAAAATTATCAGGTTAGAGAATTTGAAATTTAAATAAATAAATTCTATTTATATTAGGGATGGCAAATGTTTTAAAACAACCTGTTTTAAACCATATTTTAAATATTTTAAAACATCTAAATTTTTTAATAAAAAACAATAAAAAACAATATTTAATAATAAACCAATCATAGTATAGAATTTTAATTATATAATATATAAAAAACTTCGTAGCAAAAATAGACATTAGATTAAAAAAAATTTTTTAAATTTTTATAGTATTAGTTAAATACTTCTATCTTAATATTATTAATCCTTTTAATATTTAAAATTTTTTAAACAATATTATACAAATTAATAAATATACTAGTAGTATCCAATACTACAATTATTATATCTCAAACAAATTAAAGTCAGATATATTAAGTAAACATATTTAAAAATCTCAAAAACCTTAAACACCTTATATTAACCAAATTTTAAATCTTTATATCTGATCTCTTCTTAGTCTATAACTCTACTCTAGCCCTAAATTTTATAACAAAAATATATATAGTATTGAATACCACTAGTATATTTTGGTATTTTTATATTATATATTTAAAAAATTTATATATCATTGTATTTATAAAGTATAAATTTTTTTATTATTTAATAAAAAATACAAAAAATATTTTAAAACATGTTTTAAAACATATTTTAAAATACAAGAAAATAAAAAACATGTTTTTTGCTATCTCTAATTTATACTTAAGTATTCAAGAACAAACAAGCCAGTTACAAGTATATGATTAATAAACCTTTAACTTGAGCATGAAAAATAAAGTTTTGATTTCGCAATAATAAAAAAAAAGCATAATTTACCTATAGAATAATTAATATTATTAAAGAATACAAGAAAAAAAAATTTACTATTACAGATCTTTATGTCTTTTTTTAATATTAATGATTATAATACTGAAAGATTTTTGGGTTGAACCCAAGCTACAAAAAACATTTATTGAATATTTATTGAATATTCAGTGAATACTCAATGAATATTTAGTGAATATTCAAGTATTCACTGAGTATTTATCGAATATTCGATGAATATTCACTGAGTATTCACTGAATATTCAGTGAATATTCAGTGAATATTTAGTGAATACTCAGTGAATACTCAGTGAATAACTCAAATATTCACTGAATATTCATTGAGTATTCAATAAATATTCACTGAATATTCATTAAATATTTGATGACTACTCGATGAATATTCAGTAAATAGTCAAGTATTTACTGAGTATTCATTAAATATTCGATGAATATTCACTGAGTATTCACTAAATATTCAGTAGATCTACTAGTAATCATCTGTGATAATTCATTGACAGATTTGATTATTGTGTTGATTGGCTGATTTATGTAATCTATTAATATATTAAAAAAATTAGATAGACAACCTTTGCATATTAGTGTAATATTTATGCAGATATTGTTTATAATCACTATTTAAAAAGAAAAGATAATGCTAGCAAATTATTAACTAATTGATAAACTATATATAAGTCATATCACAGCACTGTTAGGGTGTTAATTCTCACTTTTCTAAATCCCACTTTCCCAAAAAACTATTTTCATAGGGTTAGAGTTAGCATTTTTTTAGTTGTAAATTTATATACTGTAGTGCTCTGGATGATTTTGCTTAACACGATATTTATTTCTTACTATATAGCCTGTTATTTTATGATGAGCTCTAATACTATATATTCATATATATATAGTAAAATCTATCCTATTTATAATTTAACAATATGTGATTAGAAATTGAAATGCTTGAAGACTTGATTGCTGACTTGTAAGAATCTTGCTAAGCGGCTTGCTCAATGATACTTATTTGATGTTTAGTAGTAAAATTATTCAGAGAAAAAAGAGAATGTGATTGAGGATTGAGATACTTGAGCACTTGCTTGCTAACTTGTGAGTAGTCTTATTCATTGCTTCACTATCTATTATCAAATAATAAAAATGATTTAAATAAAAAAGAAATCTTAGTATATACAAGAGATAAGGATAGAATAAGAGGAATATATATAAAATATTAAGAAGCAGATCTCAGTGATGATGGGAATTTGCGAATAAGATCTTTAAAAGACTAAAATATCAGAAGAAGTTATACTAGAAACTGCTATATAAATTTGATCTTTCTTGATCAACACATCATTGGGAGACCTTAGCATTTAATCAATGAAATTCTGAGCCAATACAATTCTATATTTGATCCTCTTTTGGTCCTATATATTTTTTTTTTTGTAATAAAGATCCAATCGAGCAATAATAATGATTGGCTTGTCAATGAAGTGATGAAGCCAATATTATTGTGAGATTAGAAATAGTATCATTGTATATAGATTTGTAAGCGCAATATGATGTTTATGCTAACTCATGTGAAAGTTAATATATATGAGAAAAACTTTGCATTAATGAGATCTATCTTTGGTTTCACTATTGCCTGCCTTATGATATTAGGCTGGCTTCATCATCTTATCCATCCTACCCAAAAAGTAAAAAGATACTATATAAATTAAAGAACATTCTGAATGAATTAGATCTGCTTAGTATGATCATAGCAGTACAATAACCACCTAGTCAATAGTATAAGTACCTTATGCCAATAAGTATTGGCAGATGTAAGACTCTATGGCTGCATAGCAGTACAAAGACATTAATGAATTGATATAGAATCTGTTTAGTATAATTGTACAATGACTTCTGATCAATGTTTTACCTTTTAGTCTGCTTAATATGATCATGGCTCAATGCTAAAGGCAGTGCAATAACTACTTGGTTGATGGTTAACTTATGCTGAGACAAAGTTATCGTTAAGGGTCAGGGCTATTTTAATGCTGCCGAGTTAAATGGTTAATACGATTAAACGATAAATATTAAGGAAATTTTTAGGCAGTTCAAATCCCTAGTACAAGGGTCTTATAGTAGACAGAACAGAAACAAATATAATTATAACGATCCTCTTCGAAGTACTATGTGGTGGTAATTCCAAATCCTATATATTTTTTCCTTTGTAATAAAGATCTGATCAAGCAATAATAAATAATAATAAAGCAGTTTATTATAAATCTTATTGCAAAAAATTTATTAAATGCTACCAATTGATATCCTGGTCATAATAATCCTAAACTATATGATTGCAACTAAATAATTAAACAATTAAATAGTTTAAGATAATTCATTATGTAATTTTTGTGTAATCACCAGTTTAATAATTTAACAATAATTAAATAAATAATAAATAGAGTCGGATGATTAATAATAAATAAAAAAGTTTAGTTAGTTTTTTATTTTTTTATTTAAAATTTTTTTTAATATAAAATTTTTTTGCCGGATCCCAGGTCATTATTTTAAAACTAATATTTTAAATTTATAAAATTTTTTAATTATAAAAAAAATCTAGGTTGGTGGGCTAAAATAAAAATTAAATATTATGAGAACCAAAAATTAACTTTGTATAGCCTAATATAAATTATATAATATAAATTTTTACTAAACTTATATTTATATATAGGCCAGTGCAAAAATGTAGATATACGAAAATCGGTACCTAAAATACTTCCCTGATTGAAAACGTGACGATCTATCTATTCACATATAAAAATTACAAAAAAGGTAAGCGTGATCGATAATCTAAATCTTTTGTTGAATTTTTTTTTTTTTAAGCAGAATGGACGATTTGAAAAGAGACAAAGGCACGATAACCCTTAACGAAAAAAAGATGATTCTCAGCACTCACAAGTACTTTTTTGAGTATCGTCAGGGCCAGAAGCAACCAGAACACATACAACTACGCAAGCTTGTTGCCAAGATTCTAGGAATTGGCGAGGCTACGGTTGCGTGGGTAATTGCTAAAGGAAATAAGAGTGAAAATAAACAATTAACAGCACCCAAATTACCTGGTCGCCCAAGAAAAGAACTTAAACCAAATGTTTCCGAAGTTATACGCGATTTAGTTATGTCTGCAAACTCTGCTGGCCTCCCTCTTTCCACACCTGTGCTGCGGCAAAAACTTGAGGAAGAAGGTCATAAGTTTTCAAAATGGCAGTTGCTTCGAATTTTACATGTTTTAGGATATTTTTACAGGCATGGTGAACGTCGTAATATATTGCATGAGTCAGCTGAAAATGTGGCTTTTTGTGGCCGCTATTTGAGGTGCCATTTTAGTAATTTGCAAGGTAATAATAGTGTACCTGTTATACCAGAAGTATTTTTAGACGAATCTTACTGCTACTTAAACCACCCGACCAATTATACATGGGTACCATCGCACAGAATTGTTTGTATACCAGGGCATGGCCCTTTGTTAGTTATATTTGGTGCAATTATTGTAATGCGCAATGGTAATATGAACAAACTTGAAGGTGAAATTGTCCCC